TGACCACTCTCACAGTGAAGAATTTCTTCCTAATATCTAATCTAAACCTCCCCTTTTTCAGCTTAAACCCATTTCCCCTTGTTTTGTCATTAACTGCCCTTATGAAAAGTCCTTCCCCATCTTTCTTGTAGCCCCTTCAGGTACTGGGAGGCCGCTATAAGATCTCCCTGGAGCCTTCTCTTCTCCAGGCTGAACAGCCCCAACTCTCTCAGCCTGTCCTCACAGCAGAGCTGCTCCAGCCCTCACATCACTCTCGTGGCCTCCTCTGGACTCGTTCTAACAGGTCCATGTCTCTCTTGTGTTGGAGGCTCCAGAACTGGATGCAGTATTCCAGGTGGGACCTTATGAGAGCGGAGCAGAGGGGCAGAATCCCCTCCCTCCACCTGCTGCCCACGCTGCTCTGGGTGCAGCCAGGACACGGTTATTGGCCTCTGGGCTCTGAGCGCACGTTGCCGGCTCAGCAATGGATGCACCTAAGGAAGAAAGTGATGAAGAAAATTGGATGCATGGTGGAGTCCAAAGTGTGCCATCTCACTGTGTGGTGCTGAAAGTGGCAGTAAGGTGATGAAAGAGCCATAAATGCCACCAGAGCGGTCCTTTACCCCAAGAGCTGTTATTTGCTCTGACAACACTGTGGGCAGTGACTGATGTTCTGTTGTGGCCTTGGACTTCTTCTTCTTGGACCCACAAGAAGTTTGGTCCCCTTGGCATGTGCTGTTTGTAGCGTACACAGTGGTAGAGTGGGATTGTCCCCAGGAGGGATGTGGTGGGGTGTCTGGCCTTGTGGCTACTCATTTCCTTATTTTAATTGCACAGAAACACCCTGGACCTGCTCTCTGAGGTGCTCCATAGTGAGGTCTCCAGCCTTATGGAGGTTGTCTGCAGACCCCGACTGCCAAAGGGCCCATATGCAACAGGGGCTCTCCCTAACCTGGGGGTTAGAAATTGATTTTTCACTGCAGATTATTACTGTTTGGATTTAGAAGTACAGTGCTAGGACTGAGACTGCAGCTCGAGACCTCACTCCATCTAACAGCTTGATAAATTCAGAATGGGATGAACCCTGGTGTCTGGGTTTGATAGTCCAATTTGGAAACATGGAGAAAATAATTTTGGTTCACTGTGAAAAGAGCACATTTGGAGATTTTTCTCAAATAAATAAAAGAAGGAAAATGGTATTTTTGTCAATGAAATAGTACAGCTAGACTTACAGGGAGACTTTTATTCTTTTTGTGTTCCTTTCTGTACTTTAAAATACTCTTGTTACGTTTACTTCAATTCTGAAGTAAAATGCAATTTTAAAATGTAAAGCCAGGACTTTCAGGGTAAAGAATGTTGAAACAAAACTCATTAACTTTGCGGTTCCTCCATCCTCCTTCAGAAGTTGTCAGAAAAAGACAATTAATCCCAAACCATTAGTGAACTGATAACTTTTGCCTCCATGTTTCCTTTTAAAGGATTTTAAACTCTTCATAACTGTCTCACTTGGAGACACATCCTGCATTTAGGATTGAGGCCATTGCATGCTCCCTGGAAACAAATTTGTTGATAGGAAGTTGGCCCAGGGCCCACTGAATTGTGTCTTTTGCTTTTGTTCTCCTAGGTTATGAGTGTTTTGCTGCTGATTGAGTACTCTCTGGAGGTGGCTAGCGGGAAAGGCTTTTGCAAAGACCTGGACAAGGATTACTACAGAATTGGTAGGTCACCAGGATGCTGGAAAGCAGGAGAGGTCAGTGGGGTTGAGAGGGAACCCAAGGTCCTACATTGGTTGTTCTTTCTTTTTCATCAAACATTGGAAACTGATATTCAGAGCAGATGGGCCAAAAGCTCAGAACCAGAGTCAAAATTTAGGCTCTAAAGATTTGGATTTTGGTTTAGGCCATGGCTGTGTTGGCTTTTGGGAGACCAATGTGAAGCCTGTTGAAGTTGTCTTTATTTCAGTGGATCAGGCCCTCAGCCCAACCTCTCTAGTACCCTCATACTCCTCCAGCCTTCCCACTCCCTCTGCAATACACTTTACATTAATCTGACAGTCCTAGTTTCCCCTTTTCTTTCTTTTCACCAACTCTAGACCATTTAAGCCTTACACACACTGTTGACTCCTTTCACATGTTGGGCATTTTCCAGGAAAACGCTGAAGTGTCTCACCAGCTCCTCAATGGACCTCATCTGGCCAGTGACTTTGGTGTCCCAGCGTGGGGAGAAATTGCACCCCCACACTACATCCCATGGGTGTATGGGCTGCCTGATATTGCCACCAATACCCTGCTCTCTACACCATGGAGCCATCCTCTTCTTATCATCCATCATGTTATGCAGCAATCTCCTACCTCACAGCTGAAGGCATTTCAAAGTGCCACACCAGCCCACCTCCCTTTCCCACCAGTTCCTTTGACCTCTATCCACAAATGTTCCCAAGGCCTGGTGTTTTTTGCAGAACATTGGCTGTCTGGAAGAAGCAGCCAGGCTGTTTTGTATCCCACAAAGCATCATAATCACCACAGTTGGTTGAATTCTTATGGCTTGAACTAGGAAGGATCGAGCTTGGATTTCAGAGATCTGGCAGATTTCTCATGTGGGGTGCCATTTAGAAGAAAATCATTCTCCAAACCTCAAATATTACTTAACCAGTCTGTTTGGAAACAACAAACACAGGGTGCTTTTTCCTTTTCTTAGTCACTTTTCAGTGTAAAAACCACAAGTTGAGATAACCCTTCTCTGCTGCGTGCACCAAGACAGAAACCAGACTCACACACCCTGCCTTGCCTCTCCCTGCAGAGAAGGCTAACAGAGAAAAACGCAACCCACAGCAGCAAGGACTTGCCTGGTCCCTACTTTTCCAGTATCTCCTTCCCCAAGGTTCAAGGATGCACAGACAGGTCCCCTGTAATTGGAGGAAGAAGAAATAAAGTAGAGCAGATTCCTGCACATCCCAAACTCACTTGTCCCCGGGGTAGGAGTCAGACGCAGTGGAAAGCACCAAAAAGTGGCATAATCACTGTCTGGGTGAATTTATTGCTAACAGATGGGTTCACATTTTTCATAAGAGCCCAGCTGGGTTTTAGGAGGCACCACTGTGATCCACCAAGGCTGTTTTGAAAGGCATCAACAGTAAGTGGAAAACGGAAATTTGGGTGAGTCCTGCTAATAAGGGACATGGAGCCCTTGGTCTGCTGTCATGGTTCACATCTCTCACACAGGTCATTATTTCCAAAACAGTCCAGTCTGGGTGGGTTGGAGGCTCCTTTGTTTAGCTGTGGACTGCAGCAGTGGCTCAACTCAACACCCAGTGTAGACTTGCATGATGACTGCTTTGGAAAATGCTTTCAGCAGAGCTTTCCCTTTAGGGCAATAAAAAATACACAAGACAGGCACTAAACCCCAGCTGTTTTCTGGGTGGCCGAGGTGACACAACATAGGTAGGAGAACCCAGTTTTCCATTTCTGTAATAAATGTTTCTAGTTTTAATTTTACAGATAAAACCTGAAGAAAATGATGCAAGGGTGACCATAAGGTCTTCCTCATTTTTTAGGGTTTGGGGTTTTTTTGTTGCTTTGTTTAGTTTAGTTTAGTTCAGTTTTGATGTACATGGGCACAGTTGGAAATATTTTTTCCTAATGGTAGAGCATTCTGAATAATAAAATTATCTGAACTGCTGAAAACTGAACATGATATTTACAGATCAGAATATTTTCCCACAGACAGTTATGTAAAAATGACAATGGTTTTTCATTATTTTTTGCAGAAAGATCATCCAAGGCCAATAATTATTATTTTTCTTCAAGTATCTAAGTAAAACAGTCTTTAAAGAAAAAGAAATAAATCATTGAGACAGATTTTTTTTGATAATTTCCAAAGGAAACTGGTATATGCTTTCTAAGCAAGACTTGCATTTCTGCAAATCTGGAGGGCTTTCTGTAAGAACAGAACCATTCTGAGTGAAATTGGCCCTGTTTTTAACAACCCTCCCTCTTCCCACACAATCAAAATGACAGGTCTTTCCCCTCCCCCTCTTCCACTGCCTCCTACACAAAAAAAGGAACATTTAATAATTAAATCCCCAGCACTTCCACTTGGCTTCTCTCCCCAAGCATTTCAAAGGGCTCTGCTTGGGAGACTGTGAGTGTTTTCTGATTATAGTTGGAATAAACTCAGTGCAACCCTTCTATTTCCAGAGACTAACAGGGAAGCAATACAGCAAAGCAGTACAAAAAGTTCAATTTTACTTCAAAACCCAGATGGAAAAGTTGGAAAACTATTTGAGGAGAGGTTCTGTTCGATGCCCTCAGCATCTGCTGCTCTATTTGTAGATCCTGCCAGATTAAAACACATCTCAGAATATATAATGCTAGTGCTGTAGTCACGGTCCCAGAATATAAACAAGGCAAGGTTTAGGGGAAAATGCATTTCATATAGTAGGAAAAAATACATATAAGAGTTCTTTATAAGGAATCAGAGCTCCCTCAGGATTTCTCAGCAGTATGCCTTAAAAAGAGGCTGGGATGGGCCTTGACTTCCATAGTTATGGTCAGGGTGGGGAAGGAGAATTGGGATTGTTGTAGGTTTTTGTGATTGCCAGAGTAATGGGAAGGGTGACTTGGTCAACTGCCCTTAGAAGAGGAATGCTATGTCCCTTGAAACCCGCTACTCCTTGTTTTCATGGCTTACAAGATGCCACAGGACTGAGAGCACTTCTCTGAAATTTGTTTTTTAATGAAAGTTGACCAAGAAATTAATATAAGACCTGTTGAAAATGCTGGATTAAAATGGGAAGGAGAACACCCAGGTTCTTCTTTGTCTTTGGGAACCTTGAAGATGATTTTCCTACCCCTGATAGGGTCAATGCCAGGATGCTGGCTAATCTAAAGTAGGTCGACATTTACTAACTAACTCATATTGAAGAAATAACACAAGATTCATTTGGCCAGGTAGAGGACACAGGAGGTAAACTTTGTTTTGTGATGATTTGGGGCATTCAGTTGCAATTTGGAAGAATCAGGTTAGAATCTCTATCCTCTATCTCACATACAGCAGAAATGTAGATGTGCATTTCCCATCCAGCCTCCCCCATTTACAGTCTATTAGAAATCTCATCTTGGAGCTGAGAAGCCTTCCTAGCAAAAGTCTTCTTGGCTGTGTTTCATTCTTGAAAGCATATGAGCTTTGGCAGACTAGATTTTCCTGCTGGAAAAACAAAACCAAAAAGCAATCCCCCAAAAAACCATTTCAATTAAAATCTTACCAGTTCTAAGCTGCTAACATGAATGGTTTTCTGCCTTGAAAAGGTTACACTCCACTGGTCAGATCTTTAGGATGTCTTCAATTCATGCCTGTGTACAGTGTGAGTGTTAATCACTTTTATTTTTCATTAATGACTATAAAAATTGAGGCTGTGGACAAAGTACAACTGGAAAACTTGTTTCGATTTCTGTCCAGTCAGCCAAGAAATATACCTCAGTTATGCCTGAAGACCCATGTGCACAGCATATACCATACCCTATATAAACATTTCCTATGCAGAAAACATTCCCTCCTTCTCTGGTGAAAAGTAAATCTGGCTAAAGGGACTGGGAACCTTCTTTCCCTTACTGGTCTTGTCCATCCTTTGAATGTGGCTGTCCAGAAACAACTCCCTGCAGCTTATCAGCAACACCAAATGAGACACTGTCATCCTTGACGATCTGTGAAGGCAACTGTTAAACCATAGCCTTATGAGCCCTGTTTGTATTTCCCATGGCAGTTTATTGGGCCATAAAATAGAAAGGGGTTTCTCTGCATTCATGGGAAATAACAGGACTCATTCAGTGTCCTTCCTGGCTACACTCAGGGCAAAAAACCTGATGTGAAGTTCAGAGAATCACAGAATCACACAGAATCACAGAATGTCAGGGATTGGAAGGGACCTCAAAAGATCATCCAGTCCAATCCCCCTGCCAGAGCAGGAACCTAAATGAGATCACACCGCAGTTCCCTGTCCTTCTTGAACTGTGAGGCCCAGAACTGGACACAATATTCCAGATGCGGCCTCAGCAGGGCAGAGTAGAAGGAAGTTAATAAAAAATAGACATTTGGCAAATAAATGTTCTCTCTTCCTGTTGGATGGGTGGTGGGTTTTGGTATTGCTTGCTAGGAATGCAAATATCTAGTGCAGAGGCTCTGTCATACACCCCCATTCTGGTTACACCACCTCCCCCAAGGAAAATAGCATTTACTTCACAGCACAGATATATTCCTTCTCATTAAATTCCCTGGGATATCTGGGAGCCTCAGGCAGACGCAGAGAATTTGAATAAGAAAAAAAAAACATAAGAGCATGTTTATTCTTTTGCTGCTGCTGTTTATTCCTGTATGCTTTTGAAAGAAGATGCACCTCAGAGAGGGTGAGCTCTCACCATACTCTCTGCCAGAGAAAAAGTATCACTGCCAGCACGGAGGTGGTTGTGGAACAGAAATATTCCTGTAGGTAGATATTCTATCGGAGTGGTGCAGGCTTTGTGAGGAGCAACATTTCTTCCCAACCTGATTTTGTAATCATTGAATCAGAGCATAAGTAAGGTAGATCCCTGGAGGTCTCCAGTCCTGCTTGAAACAGAATCACAGAATCCAACAGGGCTTACTCCAAAGTTGGAGCAGCTTGCCCAGGGCTTTGTTCAGCTGAGGTTTGCAGATTCCCCCAAATTAGAATTCCACAACCTTTCTGCATCCCTGTTCCAGACCCCATCACTTCTTGTAACATTTTTTTTCCTTTTGTCTGGAATTTCCTTTCTTGTAACAATCGCTTCTTGTCTTGCAATAACAGCTCTCAAAGAGCCAACACACCTTCTATAGGGACAAACCCCATTATTCTCTGAATACTCCAGCACTTTTTAAGGTGCCGTAGAGGAAAACGGGTTATTCCTGAGATAGGCACCCAGAAGAACATACAGGAGGAGCAGAGGGAAAAATCATGGAATAATGCCTCTGTGTTTAAGATTAAACAAGTGTTCAAGCTTGGTTCAAGGTTCCTAAATTTTGCCCTTTTCTGAGGGTTTTTAAGCACAAAAGAGACAAACATTCATCCTACAAAGGCCAACTAAGCATGAAGGGAAATACTGAGTAGACTTAAAAATTAATATCTTATATTTTTGGCCAACAGATGCTGGGCATGGAAAGAGCCTGTCAGTCACAGTAATCCATTCTCTAGGGTCTGCTGTGACTGCAAGTGCCTCAAATCCCAGGGATTCCCAGGGATCTACTGCTGGTTCTAGAAGGTAACTGGCCACTCTGCCAGCCCTTGGAAAGTATTACAGGTGGCATTTGGCCTCTCTAGAACATGTACCACATTCCCATCTCATGCAGGTTTTGCACAGACAGGGCTAAGAGCCAGCAGCTACCACTATCTAAGGGGGTCACTCCTTCAGCCCATCTGCTAAATGTGCTCCAACAAAGGCAGAAGTCATTTTGTTTAAGCAAAATCTTCCATTACTGAGGTCAAATCCATCCCTAGACCAGAGAGATCTGCTGGAAAGGATAACTATATTTGCTGTGAACAAATAAGAGGCAAACAATGCATGGAAAGTTGTTTTCTCTTGGTTTTCCCTTTCTTTCCATGCTTTTATGTCTGTAGGGTTGCAGGTTTTTGTTTCTTTTTTATTTTGTTTAGGGTTTTTTGATCTAAGTTCTGCTTGGAAAATTCAGATGGGTTCTGCCAGCAATTAGCCTGCAGAAGCAACGGCCAGTTGCCCAATTAATTAGAGAGCCTGCTGAGAGAGTTGGAGCATGAGACCACGTAGAAAGAGGCAGAAAAACACAGTTGTCTTGAAGCTGAGGAAACACCATGTTAAAGAGATAAATCCTCTCTGGGGCAAACTTCTGATGGTTGGTTCTGGGAGGAAAACCAGGGCAAATGGTTTCAGGCAGTTTGGGGTTTAATGGGATTGGCACTGTCTCCTTTAACAACTGTTCCTACAAAGGCTGAGTCTGTCCTCTTTGTTCAGCTGGTTTTTTTTTTTTGTTTTGAGTTTATGCTGTCCTCATGTTAATCTTTGGATCTGTGCACCAGATCACAGCCTCCTCTCTACTCTCCTGCATCTGAAAGGTGGGCTCAGTTTTCTCCCTTGAAGCTTAGGCTCTTCCCACCATCCTTCTGAGCTGTAAAGCTGTGAGAAGCCTCTTCAGCAGTAAAGCCTTTCTCTGTTGTCCTCTCTGTTGTCACTCAGGGCTTGCTGGATTTGGGTTTTCTTTCTTTGCTTCTTCCTAAGACTTCTTCCTCTTCTACATTTCAATTCTCATTACTTTGTGGTAAACAGATCCTGCATTTGGTTTGTGTTTTTTTGTTTTGTTTTGGGGTTTTTTTATCAGGTTATAACTAAAAGCTATTTTCTCTTGCTACCAAAACTCTTTTTCCTGATGTAGGTTAAGTGTTAGTTGGATGATTTTGATCACTCCCTTAGGTCTTTAATATCTGCCACTTTCATGTGCAGCAACTCATGCAGTGCTGCTCCCTCTCTTGAGATAAACTATTTTTGCTTCCTTGAGGGATACAGCATCCTCAAAGGGTTTTTTCCTTTGAGCCCCAGAAAGGAAGAGGCTTCTCATGCTCAGGGAAGGAAATACTGGTCAGAGCTTCTTTTCAGACTAAAGGTTCCTCATCAGCAAATTTCATTTCTAGAGGAGACACAAGTGTGTTTCTAATTCTTGAGAAGAAAGTAAAGGAAATTAAAGTATCTTTTGTATCAAGGCATTTAAATGAAATAAAGCGTACTCTCTGATAGAATAAGGATGTGAGGAGTGTTGCTGTTGGTGCCACCTGCCCTTGCTGCCAGGTGTAGCTCAACCCAGCTGTCAGGCAGGTCCTCTACAACCCTGGCAAGGCTCTAGAGCTTCTCAATATTGTCTTTGGTCCTTTCTTCAACTGACTTTCATCCATACCCACATTGCTTAGCAGAGCCTGGATGCAGTCCTTGACAGTTTGCATCTGCTGCAGCTGCTGCATCTAACATGGGCCCATCTCCTGTCAGATGTCGTGGGCAGCACTGGGTGGTAGGTCTGTCCTTCTCCAGCATGGCTCTCCCTTTGGCTTGGGCTGACTGTTTGCATTTGCTCAGAGTAACTGGCCAAATTATGATACAACTGTGACTGCTCTGCTGCAAAAGTTTTGTAAAGTTTTGGTGTTATCTGCCTGAAAAAGAGGGATGGCTTCCTCTGCCTCAAAGTCTTTGTAAATTATTTTATTCTATTGTCAGCAAAGCTAGGAAAGGAGTTAAGACCACTTTGGTGTGTGCTCAAGCACTGAAATACCCCCCCTTCCCCCATATGATAAAAATGTAATGTGGTACCAAAGCTATAGGGAAACACTCAAACCTGGGGGAGATGGAGGGGCAGTTTCAAGGGGGGAAAAAATGGGTAATACGGAGAAGTGAAGGATTTCAGAGCAGCTGGAATATATCAGGGATCCAACAGGCTAGAAGACAATTTATAGATTTTTTTATGAACACAAGTGAAAGGGGTAATGGAAAAAATAAGAGTTAGGCACTAGATTTGTTTAATAGCTATGGAATAAATTGAGCAGTTGGCAGGGGGAAGCAAACCAGTAGTCAAACATTTCTGATGGATCAGGATGATCTCAAGGATCAATTCCATTTAAAAGTTTTGTTCTTTTCTAATAAAATTAAACCCTTTATTCAGGCACTTTGGTGTTGGAAACCCCAAACAGACTATTGCTATTTAGGTAAAGCCATAAGATAGAAATTGGAGGGTGAGTTGGAGGAGGCACTGTGAAAGACTGTACATTATGCAGAGGCAGATAAAGAATGTAGCAGTGTTTTGCCTTTGGAGTGAGCTGACCTTTTTATTTCTTCATGAAGCAAACCAGCTCTACAAAAAAAAACCTTCACACTCTCTAGACTGCTGTGAAGACCAAATATGTATTCCATACAGTGTGAGTAAGGCTTTGGTAGTCATCATCAGGGCAGGCTGCTATAACAAGAGGGAAAATTACTTCTTGGGAACTGTTCAGTAGGAAGCTATGTGTGTGGAAGATACACACCTGCACCCAAAACAGCTGACAAAGATTGCCTTCAGCCCTGTAGGAAGAACTGTCTCAAGTTGTTCTCCTCGGACATTTATTTTTAATGTGTATGTTGCATCCTACAGCTACAGGGAGTGGAGGTGAGATATTTCACCCTGCAATCCTGTGGTCCATACTGGCAGAAGGTGGTTAAAACTCGTGCTTCTTGTCTGCTTTCTTGTCTGCAGATCTTTCACCAGATTTCATTGTTGGTTACTTCATCCGTCTTTGAGTCTCAAAATCATTTCCAACTCAGACATGTTAATCATTAGCTAAAAGCACTCTGACTATTTTTCTACTTCATTTTACATTAATATTGTAGCCTCGGATATTTAAAATTTCAATCCAGGCAATAAAGGCTTTTGGGTCCCACGTGCCTGACCTGACAGTCTGCTCAACCTGGTGGCTAAAGAAACATAAACTTCAAAGATAAATGAAGAAGTGGGTGTAGAAAGGGAAAAGAGGGTTACCTTATAGCTGCATGACATTCATTCCCCCTCATACACAGTTCTTTCTGCCAGGTTATCACATTTTAACCCTTCCTTAGAGGTATGATTTATTTGGGCCATCAGGCTCTGACTTTTAGTAATGTGGTCATTACTTTCCTTACTTTTAGCTGATGTCGTCACCAGTTTCCTGTTGATCACCATGTTGTTTGTCATCAGCTTCAACCTCCTCCTTGGTGTGGTGAAGGTACGTTCTCCACAAATGACATTTAGCTGCTGGCAGAAACCTCTCTGAGTTAGGAGGTATTAGAGGAGGGGACTAGAGGATGCTGACTGAAAATGCTGAAGTATCATCAAAAAAGCAGATAAATTGCTCTCTTACAGAGGGGGAAGGTGGCTGGTTTGCAATCTGCAAGGCTGCCAACTGCCAGATTTAGCCAATCTGGGTGACATTTCCATCAAGGCTATTTTTCGTGTTAAGGAATGGAAATATTATGATTTGGAAATGTTGTTTTATTGCTTCATTTCCTTGCTTTTTGCAAGTCAGATTCTGGAGGGGAACTGTAACTCCTACTACACTGGGGATTCATTTCCCATTTCAGGAGGAGAGATGACCATGTATCGGTGTGAGAACCCAGCTTTCTCTGTAGTGGTAAACTTTGGGGACAGCTGAATGACAGCTCGGATGAGACCAAGTGCTAATGTCACATAGTGAAAATTCACAGAAACTTTCCAAGGGGGTGAAAGAAATCAATGTTGATGCTCTTCATTGTCTCTGAATCGTCACCACAGTATATGGAATTAGATGTATAAATTCCAAGAAACTATTATTGGAATACCTTTATATATGTCCTGTCATGTGTTGGTAGCTGGTCTCATTCTCCCATTCAGAATAGAAATAACTGCCACTGCTTTTCTTTCTCAGAAGAGAGAACGTCTCCTGATCCCTTTCCTTGCTCTACAAGTCATGGACTTTCTCCTCAGCCTCCTAACAATGTTCAGTTCCTACATACAAATCCCAGCGGTTGTTTCTGTGTCCTCCCTTAGTCACAAGGTAGGTAACAGCTCACTTCTGGGGTGGTCTTCACTGTTCTTTATGAGATGGAGACTGATGTGTAATGTAGGAATAAAGGATTATTATCTTGGGCCACAGTTTTTCATGGCAAGGTAGTTTCTACACTGGCTGGAGACCCTTGGGGGCTAGAGGGTGTGCTAAGAAAACTATTGACAGCTGGGACATTGTTTAATTTCTCATGTCTGGGAATCTTCCTGTGAATTTTGTTTTCTGTCTCATGGCTTTGGGGAGGTTGTTCTTGGTGTGCCCATGCTAGGAAGGGTTTGCTGGAGGTGAGGTAGGAGTATCACTGCTCAGGCTAGAGGCGTCTTCTGTGGAGCTTGTATAAATCAGCCCAACAAGATGATTTGCTCATCATTTTGGCCAGAAAAAGTGAATTAAATAGCTTGGCCTGTCAACGTGAACAAAACACCAGCCCTGTGTGATATGTGGAAAATCTATAGAAGTGATGTGATCTTGTGATCATAACTAAATCCCTGTGTCCTGCCCTTCTTTGCTGCAGGGACACTCGAAGATCCCTTTCCTGGCTCTGCAGCTGCTGGACTTCTGCCTGAGTATTCTCACTCTCTGCAGCTCTTACATGGAGGTCCCCAGCTATCTCAGCCTCAAGTCTTCAGACAATGGGGTAGGTTATGAGCAAGCTCAGCTGATTTTTCATGCTGTGAAACCCTATGAAGTTTCTTTCAGTGGTTGTTAAGACAGAGTAAACTTTCTCTGATCCCAACAGTATACCCAGAACTCCTCTGTTTGGTGACAAAAGAGGATTTTCCATATGTTCTCACCAACACGGTGTTCTTGACTGACAGCTTGCTTATGTATGTGTCTCTTAAATGTACACCTTGTTTTTCTCGTAAGAATCTTATGGATGCAAATTGCAGAGCAAAATGATTTGGTTAGAGCCTGTCTGCACGCATTGAAAATGCATCAGATTTCATCTTTATTAAACAGTTATACTTTTAGTGCTCATTTAAATAGTCTTCTGAAAATCTCTGCTGAAGGGAGTGTAAACAGTAGGAGGAAAAAAATATCCCTATACCCTTTCTGTTGAGAAAAGCAAGGTGAACTGTCCCACTTTTCTGAGAAGCAGGCTGAGAAACTTGCTGAGATCACCACCAACTTGGGTGACCCTGGTAGAGGGATGAAGCATTTATGACTGAGATCCTCTCCCTCTTTTCACAGGGCTTTTTGCCAACCCTGGAGAAGTTACCAACAGAGGAATATGCCAAAGTGATGATCACCTTCACCATTGCATTCATTGCTGTCCTCCTCCTGAAGGTAAATGGCTGCAGGGTCTGGTGAGGCTGAAATGAAACTCTCTTGCCTGGGAGAATAGGAGGAATTGGTTTTGCTTCTCTCTTAAACCTGACAGAGTACTGGAAAGCCTTGTTGGTCTCTCCTTGGGCACAACAGGAGCTAAGCCTCAGCATACTGTCTGAGGCAAGTCTACTATTCAAATCACTGGTTTTATGCTTCTGCACATGTGAGTTATAAAAAAACCCCTCTCTTACTGCCCATTCATCTCTAGAAGGATAAAGTGTTTGAAAACAAATATAGGAAACTCTTTTGCTATTGTGTGACAAAATAAATTAGTTCATTAAGCAGCAAGTTAGATCTTCCACTTGGGTAAGTGGCTGTATCCACACTGATGTAAGCAGAGTTATGCACACTGATACCCTGAAATTTAATTAAAACTTGCTAAATTCTGCTTACATCTCAGAAAACTCCACTATGAGTTGGTTTCTATTCCTGCTTCAGTGGGTCAGAGAACAGGTTTTTCACTGGGGAGTTTCAGATTGGTTAAGAAAACCTGATCTCTACAGGTACTTGAACAGATTGTCACAGTGAAAAATGCTACTGGTTAGTTGGGAAGCATTTTTTATTCAGACTCTTCCCAGGTGGCCAGACAAGCCAGTGTGGAGTGGAGTGTCTTGAATGATTGCACTGCAGACATGACTTTAGCATATCTTTTAATATTTGCATAAACTGCACAAGAGGAGTGGAGATAACCCTGAAACCCATCTGGCAGTGTGGGTCTTCAGCAGAAATTTCACTGACCTGGCAAATCAGTTGATTCGAATTTTCCACAGGGTTAGCTACAAGACTGCTTAACTTGCAATGACGTCTTGCGCTGAAGTTTGGACGAGGAGGGATGGGGGAGGATAGTTAAAAAAAATGGAAAGGCACAAATACTCCTTGGTCTACTAAACTCCCCAAAATAAGTCATCCTTTAAACTTAACGGCAACCCCCCCCTCTTCCATGTGTAGCAAAACCATTTTCATGAGAGAATTCCCTCCAAGTAGTAAAGATCTGCCGAGGAACATGGCAACAACATGAAACATTTTAGACCTAAAAAGGCCATTTGGCCAATTTAGGACCCATCAGTTTCAATTCACTGAATTCACAAGGTAGCATCTAAATATGTTGGACTAGCCCAGGATCTTTTTGCATAAATTGACTTGCTTAATGACCCATCACAAACCTTTATTCCTCTTACACTAAAATGTTATTTCTGCTTATCTGGTGCTGTATTCCTGCCAACTTGCAATTACAGTCCCCAAATAGTTATCTGCATCCCACACCATAGCATAATTCAGCTAGAAGGTGGTCTGTCAGACAGAGAAGAGATGGGGCACCTGCCCCACTGAATGCCTCTTCTAGTGACTTCATATGAGAGCTGCAAGACTTGGCTCACCCTCTAGCAGGAAAGATTTCTCTGCCAGTGCTCAGAGGATGGTAACGCTCCTCTCCCTCCTTTCTCTCATATAACACCACCCTTTGCAGGGAACAGGTCCTGTTGCAAAGTGGAAGTCTCTCCATGCAACTTGATGGCTGGTTGTGTGTTTACTTGTAAAACCCCAGTGGTGATACCATCAGTTGTTCAAGTCTAAGTTCCTTGGAGATGAGAAGTATTCAGAGGGCAGAGTGAGTGAAGGGGTGATGGTTACACAGCATCATTAGGACAGTCTCCCTTGCTGATCTGTGCATCCACGAGTAATCTTTATCTCACCTCAGTATCATAAAGTCATCCTCCTCCACTACCACAGTGATAAGAATGCAGAAACCAAGGGGAATGAAGTATTTCTGATGGGAAATGGAAGAGAGGATTTAACATAATTACTTCTGAAGCAGCCCACTTCTGACCTCTACGACAAGCTTCCCATCCACTTATAATGTCAACGGCTGCCAGAGAAATTTCCCCTCTTCAGTTCAGTGTGGAGAATGGTATCCTACAGTGACTCTTGAGTGTTTTGAGGTATCCACTCACGGCATGATCCCAAGGTCACTGGTTGCCTTTACATAAGCTGTATGTACTAACATATTCTGCTCGAACCTGCTGTTGCTGGCAATAGACTTTACTGAAGTCAACTTTTGGTGCAGATACTGCAACAAACTCTTCCAGAATCAACATCAAATAAAGGATTTTGTTGTTGTTGTTGTTGTATGATTTTTTTTTAAATTTTGGGATGTTTCTTTCACAGATGAGCAGGGGTTTTTTGTACAGCTTATACGATGGTTTCAGTGTCTTGAATGCTTGCTCTCTGTATAAAGAGGCTTTTGGAAGAGAGAAGATTTTTGCAGTATTCCCTCAGGGTGGTTAAAGTTTGGATTTACCTCCTCATCTCTGGAAGTTTGTTTGAGAGATGGATTCCTTCAACTCAGATACTTCATTCTTTGTTCTCGTTCTTTGTCCTGGCTTTGTATCAAGACCAACAGTTTTCATTGTTCTAGGAAATCCTAAGCTACATGGCTTGTTCTCAGGGCATATAACTCCCTATGTTCCTTTGAAAATGACAACTGTTTTTAAAGTTGAGTCTTGCGCCAATAAAAATAAGAGGCACACGACTTCGCCTCGCCGCACAGAGTAGGGAAAATATTTATTTAATATGGTATGTTTCACATGCCTGACTTATTTTCTTGTGCCACAATCTGTCAATTGATCCATTTTTCTCAGAAAAGCTCTATTTATTGCATCTTGTAACTCTGTGAGGTGCAAGGCAGTCTTGTCAGAAAAGTGTAACTAATGCAAGTATAGGATTTTGTTGAATGAGTTGACCTGTCAGGTCAGTCCTAATTGACCATGGGAGCTTTGGATCTCTGGGAGGTGGATGTTGCGCACAAGGATTTCTGAGACATCCAAGCTTTGTAGCCTGCTCAGAAAAATAACATGAAACACATGCTTTCCTTTCTTACCTGATGACATTTTGCGTTGTCAGAGGTTTTAAGCACATGCTTTATATTTAATGGTATTACTAGTCACATTGACTTCCCATACCAGTATACTGTTTTGAATAGATGGAGTTGTCACCTTTCTAGTGAAGGATCAAGAGAGACTGATTTAAGGCCCTGGGACACATGGTCTCATGCTTCTAGCTTCAGAGAAGAAAGCAGGACAATAGCAGGCTGACAGCAAAAGTGGAAATGCTCTTGTTGACTTGCAATGCAATAGCAGACGACCCTTTCTCTTCCCTTTTCAGGTCTATATGTTCAAATGTGTCCTGAGCTGCTTTAAGTATATTAAAGCCAGCAAGAGAGAGGAGGTGAAAGTCAACCCACAAGCAGTTGAAAAGGTGAGTAAAGACTTGCTTCAGATTTACACCATGAAAAGGCATGGCTTAGATGGATGAGATGCAGGATGATCCTTACTTTTACTTCTTTGGTGATGTGAGAGAGAGTTCATCTCTTCAAATGTGTATTAACAGGTACTAATAATCAGTTTCCAATTATATTATATTCCTTTAACTTTACTTTTCTACAAAATCTTTCAAAGTCAATGTTATCTGCAAGGAACCTGAAACTCAGACTTCAAGAAAAGCAGATAAATGGGAATATGTCAGTTGTACTCTCTGATCCAGAGATGTGTTTTTTAATTTCAGTTGAACTTTGGTTTCTGTGCTTAACAGTAGTTTGCCTTCACCTTTCATTGAATCAGTGTCTGAGAGGTTTGATGTGTTGCCCTTCATCTTAACAGTTTGCTAAATAATGAATATCCATGTCCTTCCTTAGATTACTGATGATCTCTTTTAATAGTAGCATCCAGCTGCTCTGACACAATGGAAAGATATTGAAGACCTTACAAAGATACTGTAAAGATGGATGAGAAGTAAAAAGGAAGACTATGGAATGCTAAGTGTAGGCATTTGTCTTGTTGAAACTTGGCAAATATGATGAGCCTCATCTTGCCTGCAATGTGCCCCGCTGCTGTGTATGCATCGTGGCCCTCTGCAATGATCTCAGCTTAGCTTCTTTGCTTAGGCAATGAGGCTTATATTCTGGACATTAAAGATCCTTGGTTCATTTATTGCAACCATGCTTTGGGAGAGGGAGGTGGGACTGGCAGCAAAGTGGTTATAAAGTGCTGCTGATTTCTAACACTACTGGATTTCTACCCCTTATGTCTTACAGCCCATGTGGTTCTTTTACCCTGCTTTGAACTAGGTAGAGAAACACATCCAAGATCAAAGCCACTTGAAACTCTTCATGTGATCCCCATAACCAATGGTCTTCTCTTTCAGGCTGTGCTGCCATCATATGAAGAAGCCTTAGAGTTGCCTTCCAAGGAATCTCCACCACCCTATGTAGGAATCTAAGCTCTGCTCATGGAGAGAAGACATCTGTATTGCTGTTGATGCCTCTTACCCCTTCTGCCAGATAGTCAGCCCCATTGGGAAGTCCTTACTTTATAGCAGTATCATGCTTATTACAATCTAGCTCACTTTATGAGCCTACAAAGAGTGATGGTGAAGCACTGGAGCTGGTGCCTTGTTCTACACTGGCAGTTTTCTCTTGGTACTATCAAGTTGCAGTGCTGATTTTAATAAACTTGGCACCAGGCACCACAGAAGTTCCCATCACTGGCCTATGACATCTGGCTAATGTGAAGTGTAGGCACTGGCCTGGATCCCTTGTCAGGCTTGCTTTATGCCAGCAAGATGCTGCTTCTCATCTGCCTCATTTTGAATTAGGAAGTGGAATGGGGGGAAAATGGACAAGAACCCTTTTTGCTGAGATAGTCCAACCCAACCACCATCTTTTAATGAAGACTCTATGGGAAAGGGGTCAACAAAAGAATGAAGATTTCAAATGGACTATGATACAGCTCTCATCCTGTCTGCTTATGATGATGATTAATAGTGTGTACTCCAGAATGTACAACACGCTGGAATTGCCACAGAATTGCTCTGCCATTTTATACCTGAGTGTTTGCACTTTTTTGCTTTTAGTGTGACTTTGAAATATGTTTCAATTAAAAAAAATATATATATATATATATTAATGGCTTCAATAATTTGCTGTCTGATTTCTGAATGATGCTGTCCCTGCTGTCTGAAGTACATTGCAAGGAAGCAATATTTTGCTTTTTAAAAGCAAAATATTGCTTTTATTTATTTTTTTATATTTTATATATTTTTTTATAATATTGCCAACATATTTAGTTGGCAAAAATAGTACTTTGACCTTAGGCTGATGTTAGCTCATGCATGTGCTGCTTGCAGATGGGATCAAACCTGGCAATTCCATCTAAAAATCTAGCTTGTTCCTTCCTCTTGTGCATTATCAACAGTGATAAAGATCCTGCTTTCTGTGGCACATTCACAACTGGCTCTGATTGCACAGGTCAGTCTCTGCAGATGTGAGTGAATAGTGTTGCTGATGATAGATGATGAGGTATCTGGAATTTAGCATCTGCTCACCTTTTTGGATTGTCGCTTTCTTTTTCTTTTTAAAACAACTGAGTATGCGAGTGTAATTTGCTCTGGAATAACCATTCCAGTATCATCCACAGCGTGGACCACAGCCTGGGGACTTTGTTATACTCTGAAACAAAACAAAACAAGCTTCAATGGAAGATTCGCCAAAGAAATGTCAGCGCTGCCCCATGCAGTTTTCACTGGATGTGTATTTATGTGTATGGGGTTGAAGATAAAGATGTTGGTCATATACTTTTGAGCTGGTTTTTCTCATCACTGAAGAGGGGTGATAATTCCCTTTCTCTGTGCTTCATCTCCCATGTTCTGGGGACCTGGATACTCAACAACAGCCATGAAGTCTGGAAAGGTGTGCCACAATGACATTTTAATGTCTCCAGTGCTTTTAAACACTCTTGAAATCACTCACAAAAGTACAAACTCTTCAAATTCTTCAGGCAGAAAATAATTTTTCTGACCCTAAATCTAGCAGTTGTTTAACTGTGACCAAAGAGCAAGAGACAAACACAAAATTCAACCAGAAAACTTTGCAGAAGCATGTGAAGATCCCAGCTTCTTGCATCATGGTCCAGCCCAGTCTCTTGCTTATTTAGGTGGGAAGATAAAACATTATCTTTGAAATATGAATAATCAATAAGCTACAGTATCTTCCAGACATCACCTGTCAGCCCTCTTGGTCCTAGTTCTGAAGACCAGACTGGACCCTGAAACTGTCTGCTTCTTATTTCTCACCAGCTACCTGTCCACCTTGGTTGCAGTGCTCAAAACCAGGTCTGGAGGAGGCCATGGGGTGGGCTACCTGAGTGAAGTGTCTCTCCTTGTTAGCTTAGGGAGCTATTTGGAAGCACAGTCCTTCCCATTCCTCATCAGAGTCGCTAGGTGCTGAGATGGTGTGTGATAACCATGACAGCACTGGAACATCTTCACCAGGCTGCCTTCCACTGACCAGGGTTGACCAAAAGCCTGTGAACTGGGTCTGCTGAAAGTATCATTATGAGAAATGCTGGCAATTCACTTGGCTTCTAAACCAGAAGAGGATTCCTCAGTGTGATCCAAATAAATTGTGTTAAAAATCCTTTTCCCTCTCTTTAAATGGTTCAAATTCTACCTCTAATTAAATTCCCATTAATAACGCTCTTGGCTATTTAGTTACTGCAGCAGAGTAACGTACATTCCCTAAGCCTCTTCATTTAATTGACTTTGATAATAGAGCTAAAGCAGCTAAATTACATTCACCACATCTCTTGCAGAGATGGGGTTTGTTTCAATGTGTACAAGGAGTTGAGCCTTTGGGTACACACCTGATCTTCTAAATGAACCTGATGTTCCATGGCTCTTAGCAAGCCAGACGATCCTTCTGCTTCCCTGTGAAAGCCTGGCTCAAAAACCCCTGAAATCTGATAAAATGTATAGATTTATTGTGAGTTTCCAGCCAGGTCAGGGGCTGAGTTCTAGACGGGAAGTGGTTTTGGTTTTCTGAAATGTTAGATGATTTGGCCAACACAAACTGAACACAAGCTGTCCCAAGCCTGTTAATAAGTCAGACGATGGCACTATCAATGCTGGTTTTGAGACTGATAAAAGACTCTTTTTAATATGCTTCTGTCATACTGTTTTTTCTTCTCCAAACTGATTTACTGATGTGAGTCTCTGCAACACAGGCTGAGAACCAATTTACACAAATATGCTTAATGCTGCTCCACACATTGCTTTTTTTTTCCAACGCAGAGGAGAAATGAGGGGCAATTCTTTGATGTAGAGAATAGATTGAGCTGATGATCTCAGCACTGGTAGGACAGATGTGTAAGAGGGACTTGACCACCTTTAGAAGCAGCGGCATCTCATGGAGGTGGAGATGCTCCAGGACTCCAGAGATGTCTGTTACATTACCTGACTGACTGACTCTTTACCCC